TTATTTTCCTAAAACAAACTATGGATCGTTTCCATAATATTTTATTGTAGACTTTGTATAAAATAATCGAGATACTAATTGTCATTTCTATTAGATATTACAATTTGTTTCAATATATATACAATGAAAATTCGATTGCTTTTTATATGTAAAGCAATGCTGTAAACACTTCAAAAATATCATTGATAAGCAAGCATTCATGCTTCAGTGATCGCATCATTCTTACCTTGAGATGTTCCTTTTTACCCATAGACGAAATAACCATTGGCATTTGTAATATTTTTCTGCTTTTCAGAGAATTTATGACAAATGAGTTTCGTTAATATCTATCAGATACCTTATATACAAATAAAACTTTAGATTTGTTTTCTAATATAAATTTGATTCGAAGTGTCTTATCCAAAGGAGAAACATGATGCTTTTTGTACTCTGAAGTCCCTTAAAGTACCATTAAGTATTTAAAAGTAGCGAAGTAAAGTTAACGTTACGTTAGCAAGTAACGATAACGGCGCCTCTGGTAGTTACCGAGTATCATGGTAGTGGAAAATTCATGGATTTGATTCTTTTCTTAAGGAATATCTATTTGGAGAAAAACGCAAGTTTCTGTGAAATTTATTTGAAGATTTTCGAGGTATAGGGTTCTAAATCTGTGTTCGATTTCTCGAAACTCCATACTTGATTCATCGGTCAAGTTTCTTCGACTCCGAAAACCATTCGTCAAGCTATACAGAAGACTATGAGTCTCTCCTCATCTCAATCTATTCCTTTACGAAAGAATCAAATCCGCAAATTTGCCGCTATTGCGTTACTGGGTAACTAGTAGCTGCGCCGTTACCACTACTTAGTAACACGGCGGTAACTCCTATCGCCTAGGTATCTTCCGAAAAGTTACGAGAACCAAACCCAACCAGCTTGGAGAAATTATAAAGACTACACCTGGGTTGGCTCAGGATAATTGCATCAATCACTCGCGGATAGTTGAGAACAGTTAATGGTTCTTCCACGAGTAGAAATGAAAGTTGTCGGTAGGAAGCTCACCAATCTCAGTTTGATGACTTCATAGAACTGATCGATTTGAAGAGTCAAGTTCTGATGAGATGATATGTTCGAAGAAATAAGATCTTATCAAAGAAGGTTTCAAGCAGATACTCGGATCGGAACTACACAGAACTGATTTTTTCGACCTCCCGATATGCATAGAAACTATAAATGTAAAAGACACCAAAGCACATAGAAATGAATCGAAGTACCTCAAAGTGCATTGAAGTATCTTGAAGTGTCGTTAAGTACGTGAAGTGCCAAGTATAATGCTTTCCTCTTAGCCTGTTTATTCGATCTCATCGAAAAATTATCAATCGGAAGCATGACATTAATTAATTTATTTTGATTTTTCAACTAAATATCGTAATTAAATGTGAATTCAAGGTTCTCCAGAATGACGTCGAAAGTCAAAACGTCAAAATAAAAATATCGAAACTAAAACTATCGAAATATAAAAATGCCGAACAAAAAGGTCCTATTCTTTAAGATTACGTAAATCAGACGTCTGAAGAAAATATATGTCAAACACATAAAGCTAGATGGCATTAATGGCCGAGAGATGCAATGAGATACTCTTGTGATCATAACTACTACATCTTTTCTTTTGCTAGTTTCATATATCTGAGGAATCTGGATGCACCAAGACTATGCAATGGTACAAGACTGTGTGTGAAAAGTCTAATGCCTCATGTTATTGAAGCAACAATCTTGACAGGCTGCGCAAAAGGTGAAGATGTATTCATACCATGAATACCCATGGTTCCTACCGATATGCCTTTTGAGTTCAAGCGTCTTCAGTTTCCAGTACGTCTTGCCTTCGCGATGTCTATCAATAAGGCTCAAGGACAATCACTTAGGGTTGCTGGTATTAATCTAGAGACTCCTTGCTTTTCTCATGGCCAATTTTACGTCGCATGCTCAAGAGTCGGAACTGGGAAGAATTTGTATGTTTTTGCCCCTGATGCGAAGACTAAGAACATTGTGTATCAAACAGCTTTGCAATAAAAATTGTACTTCATTAGACACAGGCTTTTTCTAATAAAACAAAAGTCAATCAAACAAAAAGAACATCGAAAAGGATAGAAATATTTAAAAAAAAATAAAAATGACGAAAACAACAATTGAAAAGGGATAGTGGTCCGAACATATTTTGCGATATCAAAGTCCAATAATTGATAGGAGATCATAACGACGTCTTTTTCTAATATGTCAAGTATATATTATCAAATTATCTCGACCACCATCGGGTACTCCCGCTAGTGTATTATAAATTTAGTTTATAATATATTGATTGAATTGATTTCTGATAGTTTTCAAAACTATTTTGTATACATAATAATATCGACATTGTATTATCAACTGATTTTTTCTGTGATAGTTACTTTTACTTACAGTTAAAACAATAGATTTTTTACTTGCGAAAAAAAAATACTAAATCAGAATGATATTCACCTTTTTAATTTTGTCATTCTGTTTAAGCATATGAAAATTTATTCCATTTAATAATTTCATCATCGATTTTGATAAAAAAAGAAATAATTATAAGAAAAAAAAAATCAATTAGTCTATGCATACAAAAGATACTTACAATCTTCTCTGTAAATCAAACAGTTGGATGTATTATTTGAAATACAAAAAAGCTTTAATCAAGGCATGTTTTCTTTTTTCTTCGTTGACATAACAAGTATATTTTTCTCTGTAGATGTTGTATAAAAGAATTTCTAATAAGAAAACGAACTGTGAAAATAAATAAACCTTCGAAGAATAAGAAAAACTACAACGAATTTCTATTGATTAATCTCTCTGGTCTATAACGAATAAAAAAAAAGGAATCTGAGACAACATTGTGAACTTACTAGGAAAGCAAGCATTATGAGAAAGTATTGATAGAAACAAAGGTCGTACTAACACAAACTATGAAATTTGACAATTTGAAACCTAGTATTTTTTTTCCAAGACGAACACCACTGTAGTTTTGCCATAAATAAACTACATTCATGTACAAAACTTCTCAACGACCGATACTAGATACATCATAGAATCATGGAAATCTTCTTAGAGCATGCATTGTATGTATGTCTGAATGAGAAGAACATTCTGTTTGTTTTTGAATTCAACGAGAAGAATCCGTTCTTAAAAGTAATTTATAATTACTTAATTTTCTATTAATAACCTTACTGTTCATATACGTCAGATTGTAGGGCTGGTGTCAATATTAACCCTCATAAACAGTACATGGATAGATATCTAATAGTATTCAATAAATCTATTCAAATGAAAACTTCGTGTTCGTAACTAAATTTAGATAATATTTGATAAAAAGCTTGTTTTTTATTAATGCAATTGTGTGTTTATTATAATCAACATATACCTTGAATTTTGCATATTGATCTAGTAAAATTACATTGGTTTTTATTTGCAATCGATTTTTTGAATAATATATAACTACTCGTTGCTTGTGACTACTGGTAAGCCATGTCGGTGTGACTGAATATTAATTAACTTGAAAATAACTTGAAAGTAATCATCACTAATGTGGTTTCGAACAATATAACATGAAGATGCTAACAAAATTCTTTTTATTTCTTTATTAAAAAATCTTTTTTTACTTTCGTCACAACAGAAGGTATCTTTCATATGCGTCTTAGATTACAATCATCACAGTGAGCAACAATAGTATTTAGAAACAATGAATACTATTGCAATAAGAGTTGCGTTAACAGGTATTGAAGTTTATATCATTGATATGAGCGTGATTAGGAGAATCTACAGTACAGGGAAAACATCTAGTTTTGCATTCATTCTTACTTTGAATTTTTACTTTAAAATATTTATTTAATAAAGAAAATTGAAAAGTAGGTTATTCTTGCAAACTAATAGATATAATTAGTTCTAGCCCACAGATTGTATTATCAAAAGAATAGAGTTTCAACGAAAATACTATCCACAAGTATAAAAAATTTAAAAAAATCTATTTAAATGATGAAACAGAAAAAAAACAGATGGGCTTCAAATTTCTTGATTAAAACTGGCGTTTTCATCCCGTTATTTCCACGATTGTGATTAAAAAAGAAATTTCTTGAATACCCCTTATTAAGATATCCCTGCAAATCAATAAATATGAGAAAGATCAACTTTTATGTCCATTTTCATCCTTTCAAGCATCATATTTTTCGTAAAAATTCATGAAAGTCATGAATAGACTTCTGCAGAATGGTCACGGTCTTTCGTGACTGTGATTGTGACTAGTTTTCGAAAAATTGCCGTGACTGCGATCGTGACCATGACCGAATAGCTTGTGATCAGGACTTAACCGTGAAACATTTTGATATGAAAAATCTGATTTTTGTTAAAAAAAATCAAGATTTTAAGTCATTTACGAGTTTTCTTTCTTTTATTACAGACTAAATCTACGAAATCAATTTAACTCTTGAGTTTGTAGCACAAAAATCCAGCTAGTAATCCGAAATTTCCGTGACCATAACGCAACCGTAAATAGTTTCGAAAAATTTCCATGACTATGAACGTGACCGTGACCAGGCACATCGTGGCCGTGACGTGACTAACAAATCGTGGTTACGCAGAAGTCTAGTCGTAAAACTATTTTTACACTTTCAAGTTCATGGAAACGTCTGTAGATAACAATCCTACAAACGAACAAGTAATATTTATTGATATTCAGAAAAGTTGCCGAGATGAACAATATAGTTTTTTCTCAATAAAAAACGTTCATCTCGCTGCAAACACTATCAGACAACTTGTTCTATCTTTTTTTCGCTCCTTGAGAAAATATCTTGCTGAGCGGAACTACTGTAGTTTTCAATGCACATCCTATTTAGCAATGAATAAATTCATGGAATATTTTGATATGCTATTAACAATTCTTTTTCATCATTTGATATTCTTCGAGACATTTGCTTTTCTAGATTTTCATTCATTGATTTATGTCGTGACAAACAATGTACTTAGGTCTGTTTATATTGTTTCATATTTTCGTTTCTACTGGTGCAAAACACTTCAATGGAGGAACTATAGGATGGGCCCCAATTGATCCTTATGATAATTCCACTTCAGTTGATATTACTATTACACAATCTTATTCATGGACATATCCATATACAAAATGTGCCAACAATGTACCGATCTCGACTAGTGGATTTGGTAGTGCCAACACTAATCTAACTTGTGTAGTTGATTGTTCGACTGATGGTAATTATTCTAGTACACCAATTGACATTCTCACTAATTGTACATCAGCTAGTTCATCATTGAAAATGATGACAAGTGAACGATCGAAAAATATTACTCTATCTGCTGATGCACATTTTTATCTAGCTTATAGAGGAACTGCTTGGGTACCATTAAATGATCCTGCTGAAAAAGGTCTTGACTGGTCTATTGTAACGTACATTGATCTTCGAAAGAGACCAGATGGTTTCATCAATACTCCATCTGTTGCCAAATTTGTTTCTCCACAATATGCCATTGTAAATAAAACAATACAAATAAATATACCTGTTTCGGATGTGAATACTGGAGATGATGTACGCTGTCGATGGTCAACATATACAACTGGATATCGAAGACGAAAACGATTCGACAAGGAAGAATGTATCAATCATTGATCTGATGTTCATTTTTATAGCGAAGTTACTAGTCATAGGGAATTCATTCATATTAGAAATAAAAGAAGTTGCAGTGGCTATGGCACCACTTCATGTTTATTTGGTTGTAGCTGCACTTTTCCTAGTTGTGTTTCCACAACATGCACTGGATCGACATGTACTGACACGGGAGGTTGTAATACAACAGTTACGACAACCACAACCGGCGGAACGACTACAACCGTTGCAGCAACTACAACGGGTGCGACCACCACAACCGCCGCAACAACAACGAATGCTGCGACAACCATAATCAATATAACTACTACAGAAACTCCGGAAACACCGAAATCAACTTCGTCGTTTCCAATTCGTCAGGCAATTGATGAATGTGCTGATATTTGTTACCCAAATAGTGTACCCTCTGGTACAACTTTATCCAACTGCACTATCACATTCACAGGTACTAAAGCTGGTGTCTGGTATGCAGTTGCTATTCAGGTAAGCAGATTGCTATTCACTCGTCACTAATTCTTCAATCATGATCATAACATTATTTATTTTTATTGAGTAGCGATCACTAGTGCTAGTATATTTCGATATTTCGCAACCTGTACATAGTATTCTTCTCTTGCTGAGCTACTTTATTAGTTAGAAAACTATATACAATCAACTGTATCAGATACATCGTTTCTTGCTGAAAGAGATAATTTATAACCTTTAAATCATATGCTAATCTCAAGAAAAAAAACCGACGTTATGAGTATAAAAAAATAAGATATCTGGCTATTTCTTACATAATCTAATATGTATGTATAGTACAGAAGAATCATTTCTTTTTCTATAGGTTGAAGATTTTATCGATACATCAAGTACAACACCAATGAGTTCAGTACCAGTTCAATTTTTAATTTATGTTCAATCACAAACAGCTTGTTCACTAGAACCCATAATTATTCCTCTAGATTGTTGTCTAGAAGTACAAGTTGGTGTCTCAATCCGCTTTAATCTATCTGCACTGAATTTATGTAATCAAAATGTGGCTACACTTACTGATATCGTTGTTTCAAGTGGAATTACTGGTATGACTCATATTAATCTTACACATTCATCAACAAATTCATCGATCTACTATATGAAGTTCACTTGGACACCACAGGCAAATCGAATTGGATCGCAGCAATTATGTACAGTAGCATATACAAGGTAAAGGTTTTCTTGATTAATTTTTCATGAGTGTCATATTTTTTTTTTGTTGATTAGTGAAAACTTGCAATCTGATCAATATTGTGTTACATTTACTGTAAAAAATTCATCTGATACTTGTGTAACAACTACAACTACAACAACATCAACATCGACAACTACCACATCCGAAACAACAACAACTTCTACTGCAACGACATCTGAGGCAGCTACAACAACATGGACCACTACAACCGTGTAAGTAATCAAAAAAGATTTAACCATAAACATACTATCCTTATCCATTTTTCTTGTATTTTTTTTGTGCCATAATTCTATGTTCAGAATTTGTGTCAAACTTAAGTATTGCTTAGGGAAAACGTTATCAAATAGCATTTGATACTCACTAGTTGTTGCAATGCAATAGACGAAAGAAAAATGTACAATAACGCAATATGTCATATGTGCTGACTAAATGCATTACCTGTTATAGTTGATAAATATCAAAATTTATAAACGAAATCAAATTTCTGATTGTTTTTGTTTTTGTAGGACAACAGCAACAATAACAAACGCTTCAAGTAAGGTTTATCAAATTTTTCCAAAAGTCTAATCGTGATGGGTCGGTCTGAATCAGAGTCTAAGAAGTCTTTACGAAACATCATTGGACTTTCAAAAGTTCACATATATACAGAACTAGAAAACAGTGTGTCTGCGAAAAAGAAGTTATTTTGATCGATATTAAAAGTTCTACGTCAGCTCATTTAATACTGTGGTCAAAAGTTAAAAATTGTGTACCATTGATCAACTGTTTAGCTTGACAAATTTCGAGATTTTCCTATATTCTTAAGCTGACTCTCATGTTCTTGCTATGGATTTAATACAATTACTTCAAATATAATATTTGTTCGTTTATATAGAATCATCTATGAATTGGCTACTAATTTTGGACTTGTCATTATTGGGTTTACTGTTAGCTGTATGTTGTTCCTGCTGTTGCTTGCATTTTCTTTTGTGGTAAGTATTTTTGCTTTAATTTTGCCATAATACAATTAAACTTGTTCATAGTCTCCTCATTAAAAAACTCTAATTCCACTTTTTACTAATAGTATGAAAAAAAAAAAGAAATCTATATGATTGTATATTACTCTATGTTCCACGTTTGTTCGAATTACTATCGGTATACCACTGTAGAATAGCGGTAAGAATATACCCAATTCTTTGAATATCAAATTACCGCCGATTGGTTGCTGGTCTTTCGATATTTTTATCCGTCGATATTTTGACTTTCAACCAAATTCAGGTTTACTGAATTCAAACGTGGACTGAGAACCATATCGAAGTGTATCTTTGTTGAATATTCCGTGTTTTTTCATGAACTATTAGTACGATATTCATTACCATTTAACATGATATCTCACCAAAATAAAAAGTTTCAATAGTTTAAAAAATGAATCGAGTGAATAAGTAGTAGTTTATTCACAATACAATTACTTTGTAACAGTCGCGTTTTTCATGAATAATATTGATGACTTTTTCAAATTAGTCATACTATCTGCGAATGAATGCAGTAAAATGTCATTGTACTTATAACAAGATAAACAATATTCTTTCGAACTGTTGATGTAAATACAAATAAATGTTAACTAAAATTATGATAGTAAGAGTTTGCAGTTCATACAAGTGAATTTGAATCCATAAGTGTAATGAATTTGAAGAAGTTCTACTTTTTTAATTATAAACAGTTGATTACAGCAAAACCAACAGTTTTTATTCTATTGTTAAAACTATTTTAAACATTCCGAGTGTAGAGATGACACACACCCTCACCCACATACAAGCAGAGCAAAGAGTTTTAGGCTTTTAAATTTTAAATAATGTCGTTCTTTCAAGATTTCACTACATAAAAGTAGATTCATTTTCTTTATTAAATAAAATTTTCTATAAAAGATGCAATTCAACATAGAAATATTCACGAGACTTAACAATAACACCTAAAACAGATCTAATTTATTCATGATTCATTAATTAATCATCTAACGCCTTGGATACGATAATAGCCAACGATAGATTCACATTATCTGTATTTATGTATTTTGAGTGTTTGGTTGAGGTTGCGTCACGGCTCGTTGAAGATGTGGTAGTTTTTCTTGATATCCTGCTCTTGTATTTGTATTATCAAGAGGTGCAATGCGCTTCATTCTACTTAATAACTTCCTAATAATTTGTCGAAGTTCTTGATCTAAAAGAATTGTGCATACTTTTTCAGCAGCGACAGTTAATGATATTGTAACAATACCAATTAAATACAGTATTCTATTAGAACTGAGCACATATAATACAAGTGGAATTCCACCCATGAGATAAATACTTAAGAGTATTAATATATTACGGAGAAGTTGGAAATCACGTCTTTCCCCATGTAGTACTCTCAACAAATGTCTAGCTCCTTTTTTTGCTTGTTTAATATGATAAAAAATGAAAATATAAATTATGCAAATAGATAATGTCGGTATTATGTAACAAGCAATCAATATATAACTGGTATGAATTATTTTTTTCATAGGTACCCAACAAAATTTCATAGGCCGATAATAAACATCTTTTGTTACTACTACTGATATCGGAATGATTGTAACAGTAAACCATTGAATGATGACAAGAATATAGTGTGTTTTGAATGTAACTAAACATTTATATTTTGTTGAAAAAACAGCAATAAAAAGACGTGATATTGCTTGAATAAGAAATGAATAAGTGACTGCACAAAGAGTAAAATAAGTAAAGTAGGCACGCCATCGACAATAAATATTACTTGTCACCGAAGGTACGAAGAAAAGAAAAACATAATTATTTATTTGTACAATACAATAAAGAATCGATGCAACACATGTATTACACATGAGTAAATGTCTGATTGTATGAAGACGAGGTTTTGTTCTTCGTACTAATATTAATATTGTAATAGATATGACTACAGCACTAACAATCAATATGGCAGAGAATGAACAAACTATGGCATAATCGTGGATGTAATTTGGTGTCACTCCTGTTGAATTCATTCTAGGATAAAATGATTTTGATACGCAGAAATCTTTGTTTTGCTTTTGTCTATGTTATGCAAGATGATGTCATCTAATAGAAGAAATACAATACTAGTAGACCAATAGTTTCTAGTTTATTGTTTACAAAGGATATAACTAGTTGAATAGAAGACAGAGAAAAAAAAAGAGATGAATGAAATAAGAGACAATGATTTTGCAGATAATATTATCTTTTATTTTTTTATTAATAATTGAATGAGCATCGTCCAATAAGTGAAAATGAAAAAGTTAGAAAATATTTAAATAATGCATTTGAAAGTTTTTTGATGAAAAAAATAAAAAAAATAAAATTCTTCGTCGATGGAAAAATATTTTGATTCAAATAATATCTCAAATCCAAAAGTGCTCAGTCAGATTCTATCGAATCTCTAAGTTATCATATACGATTGATCTGTTGACATTTTGTCTAATTTGATGACATTCACTAATACGAGCATTTCAAATTCGACGATAGATAATTCGTCAAACTTTGTCTCTTTTATTGATCGGAAAGGATGTAAAAGGAAATGAAAACACTTTTTCGGATGAAGCACGTCTCTTATTGTAGTATTTGAGTAGAAAATAGAAGCGTTTTGAGAAAATATTCACTTGATTCGAGTAGATTAAAACTCAGCTACGATGATGTTATATGTATTGATGCTATTTCGGACTACTAAAATCATACAAAACACCACTCAACGCAGAGAAATCACCTACACTTATTTCAATCCTATAAAACTAGCTGTGAATGAAAAGAATGATTGAATAGACACTAAATACTCCTAGTAGCAATTAAAGGCAATCTGATGAATATGAACATTAATACAATAACAAAAGAAATACTGATTAACATTACTAGTCCTCCACTTGTTCCTTTAAGTTCTTCAATATTTTACTTATCATATTCCCAGAACTTAGGAATAGCTAAGAAAATCTGTGTATAGTGATTAATTATGAATGTAGATATAGAGATGACTGACATCCCCATCCTAGTATTTCTAGTAAGCTTGATCTTCGTCTGTCTCCTAAATATTATTCATTGCTTCTAGCTATTGTAAATTTGTCCGTATATACAGGGTCGCCCAAAAGTTGCCCAGCAGTCTTTGATTGTGCATTACTTTTCATAGGAACGAGATAGAAAGCTGCGATTTTCGCTATTCGAAAGAGGAGATGAAGACGCACAGAAATGCATAATGTAAGTTAATTTAACTTAGCTTTTTCAAGGACTTAAACCGATGTTTTTCAAAATCAACTTACCCCATAAGGTTACTACATTCAATTATTTATGATTAGGTGTGCATTCGAGCCGCTAGTCGAACACCTACAAAACTGTGCAAAGCTTAGACTTTGAGAGTTACTCCTTTAGAGGTTATTGGTATTCTACTGGAAATTCTGAGTCGATTTTTCTATCAATTTCTGTGAAAGAAATCACTTTTTGTGTGTTTTTCTTATTTTATAAGAAACCCTTTTCCAGCAATTTTGTTTAGAAAATTGATAAAGAAAACTCTAGAAAACATCTTAGAAAAAATTTATAACATACGATTCGATGTGTATTCGTCTCCTCTTTCGAATGGTGAAAACCTCAGGTCTCTTTTTTATTCCTATCAAAAGTTATTCGCAAGCAAAAACTGCCGGGTAACTTTTGAACCACTCTGTATATCGTTTATTTCTTATTTATGATGAAGTAGAAACCATTTGCGCTACAATATAGAACGTTAAACTTGATTAAAAACTTACTTTTTTCTGTTGAAGAAAAAAATAATAATTATATTGAAGTGAAAAGCTGGAGAAATAAATAACTGAGTCTTGGCAAAGTTTCAACATTCTTGCAATCAAATACTAATCAAAGCTTCGGAAAATTATCATTGCTATGATTAATGAAAAACTGATGAATTGATAGACTTTTGTTCAAAAAATGAATAAATTCTCAAAAACATTGGAATACTTATCTCATAAACTGATCACTAACCTACGTTTTGACATTTATTCTTCCATTCATATAAACTTGTAGAAGACAATGTAATGTCTTTTGACTTTGATAGATCAACTACATTTTTGATGAATCAGTGCTTTCTAAAACTCGTCAACACTTTAATACATATGTAGAAGATGAAGCTCATTACGGAAAGTTAAAAGTTGACAGCAAGAAAAGTTAACTCTTTTGGCTACATTTATTTTCTCTATTGGTAACACGTAAGCGTATACCGAGACAGACGGGTTCCTAAAAACAAGGAGTATTTTTTTCTACGAAAAACCTATGAGACTTTTTTTCGAGCTACTCACTTTCGCTGCGACTAGCTCTTCAAAAAACCGAACAGATCGGTTAGAGCGAAAAATACACAAGTCTTATTGAATAAATTGAAAAAGTGGAAATTTTGACCAACCGTTGGATATTTTTGGCTTTGGTCGATCTACTCTGTTTTTTGCAGAGTTCGATGAAATCAAACTGAATAGCTCGCAATAAAGGGTTCATAGGTTTTTTGTAGAAAAGTCTCATTATTTTCCGCAATGCTTCTCTCTCGATGAACGTCTAGAAACATCAGTAATTATTATGTTACTGAACGAAAAAAGTTTATAAAGGACGGGTGATTGCTAAACGATGAAATCAATCCTCTCTCAAAACTGAGTTTACTATATCCGTAATAGTCAATGCGAATGTCAGAGGTCAATTGCCATTTGAATCACACAGTAAGATCTCATTCTGGCTGTGAGCAACTGGCTCAAAACTCGATAGCTTCTATTATTTATAGCGTTATTCAATGTAGTATTTCTATGAAAAGTTTGCCTCTCGTCTTCAACTGTTTTAATTTGACTTTTATATCCAATGAGAGTTCCTTCTTTCTTCTATCGAATGATATATATGTCATATATATCATTCGATAGAAGAAAGAAGGATTTCTCCCGTGATGTATAAGTCAAATTAAAAGAGTTGAAGACACAAAGAAAACTTTTCGTAGAAATACTGCATTGAATGACGCTATAAATAATAGATGCTCTCGAGTTTTGAGTCAACTGCTTGCAGCCAAAATGAGATCTAACTGTGTGATTTGAACCGAAACCAATTTATAACGTCCAAATTGGCTATTGAGAGAATAAGAAACTCAATTTTGAAAGGGAATCGATTTCATCCCAGAATGACTTCTCTTCCTTGACTTCCATGAAATATGTGCTACTGTATACATTTTTTAAACTTTAGTCAGAATGGCTGCAGTTTTAAAGTTTGATTTTATTTGATATACTTTACTCAGAAATGTGTCAAAATGATTTGTTACATTTCGCTTCTCATAAAAATGACCATGCGTCTTTTCTGAATTCAACTTACTATATTGTTGACACACAAAATTTTTTGAAGTTCTGATTATTATCACAGCATCCTGTATGAGCGAACATCATGCGCTAAGATATTGCATACATTTGATATATTTTAATTTCTAGTAACAATTCACATAACGACATCTTGCAAATGGACAAGTCTATAAAGTAGAACTACAGATGGTAGGTAGAATTTTTTTATGTCAAAAAACTCTGGAATATATATGGAGTTTTCTACGTGTTTCATAATAATGTATTAAATTATAATATGTTGTTTTTTCATTTTATCATCAACTATTACTGTTGAAAAATGATGCATGATTGTTTTGAATCAAGAAACTCGTCAAGTTATGAAGATTATAATGTATTGCATGACGCCTATTATACGGTTCGAACATAAAAACACACAACAATAAAACCTCTATAGAAAATTTAAAATCATACGCAACATAAACATTCAATAGTATCAATCCTGCAAAAGTTCAATATAATTAATTATAATAAGTAGGAAACAAATGAAGAATATATTGAATCACTTGATTTCTTCAACTATAGATATATCATTTGATTGATAGTAATACGTCTCATCAATCAATCAACATACATTTATTTTTTGTGATTCTGTATTGTTAAAACTGAGACAGAGCTCATCGAATACTGTTACATTGATACTTCTTTACAAGAAACATAACTATTTAAGATGATATTAGAATTCTCAGATTTTTTTGCAAATTTTCTACTTTCATTATTTCAATATTATTAACGTTTTATAGTTAACATATATAAGTATATGTTAAAATCAAAGTTATATGTAGTTTTAAGATTACAACATTATTCATTTATTCAAACTATTTTGTTAAGCATGGTTGCTAAATGCCGTCATAGTTACATGTGGTAAGTTTATCATGAATGAATCAAATTTATATTCTAAAATTTGAATTTTTATTATTCAATAGACAGATTGAATAAAACTTTGTTATAACACAATACAAAACAGTTGAACAAAATTTTTTCTCCTTTCTTTGCTTTGCTATGTTCGGTGATATGTATATGTCGTATCGAAGTTAGCATGTTTATAGAAGTTATTTTTATTTACTCAAACCGTACGTAGATGATGATCCAAATAGTGTCATCAAGAAAATTATTTAAGATTTTTCTTTCAAAGAAAGAAAAGACATATTTGAATCAAAAAAAAAAGAACATCATTGTACAAATCATGTACGAAAAAAAGATTGACAAGGAAAATTATCTTCATTGTTTTTTTTAATTTTTCGTTGCTTTTAACATTGGAATAATAAAATTAGAAGTTTAGCTATCAGATATCGATCAACATGAAGGATATGGTTGCTTCCAAAGTGTATAATACTCTTGTACAATTTAAGTCTATAAGCTGATTAAAATATTGAGACAACATTTGAATATAAAATTCTAATACTTGGATTATAATGACGAGATTAATTTCAATAATAATGTATATGTACGAACTCACTTAAGAAAATTCACTTGTACTTTATAATTTTAAATAAATAACCGCTCTACATTTATCATTATCAAAAATGTTACAAATAAAAAAAAATTTCGACTTTTATCGTCTCTCTCAACGATAAGAAAACCTAAACCTACTAAAAGAACTACTGCATTATCTTCAACAACAGTATATAATACAGTAGCTACAAGTACTCCTTCGACAACAACTAAAGCTATTGATGGTGCTAGATAGATCATCATCTATGTACGGTTTGAGTAAATAAAAATAACTTCGATAACAAGTGTCATCGAAGTTGTAACTTCTATAAAAAAATTCGATCGAAGTTAAACTTCGATAAGAGGAAGCATCGAAGTTGTAACTTCGATAAACATGCTAACTTTGATACGACATATATATATCGCTCATACGTATGTGTCTTGTTTTTATCTTAAAGCTAATTAAATTTTCTTTTCCTTACGTTATTTTTGTATTTATTCATATACTCTCTTGAGTATTTCTATACTAGTATTAACTTAGAAGGAAAATAATTTGTCTTATATATTTTACTATAAAATATATGAATTTTTGTTTGCTTCTCATTCATTGCTTGCGACATGTAGAACTGATTCTTTTACAATTATAGTGGAAATTTTGTTGATAGCAAATATAGAATTCTTGTGGAAGACTTATGACAAACATTCTAACGAATTTTTAGATTTTTGCATCGTTTGTTTTATTTAAGGCTTCAAGAAACACTTTTTACATTTTATCTTCTCATTAAATAGATAACAACGCAGCTACTCTTTCTTATTAATAATGTAAAATCCATCTACAAATTTTGTTTTTACATTAGTTATCATAAGTTAAGGTTAAAAGGTAAAGATGTTTACGTTTGATGATCAATATTGAGAATTATTCAAAGTTTCTTTTATTTCTTTCCAGCACATAATTGAACATGTATTCTTTTGCTTCATGGGCCCGAACATAAAGACATACAAAGAGAAAACAATGAATTTTCCAAATATGATAGGCCCAAACGGTTCAGTTTCCCTTATTTAGATATGCTCTTTCTTTATCTTTTGCCATCTTTATCCACAATAACAACAACTCAAGCTGGACAATTTTGCTATTGTGTACATACATATGTATTCCGTTCTGCAAGAGAGACGATATCATCATGCGTACGGCATAGTCCAAGGTTGTCGAACGCACAGCATATAGTCGTCGGCGCTAAAAGAGCAAGAAACAGAAGCAATAGCAACAATATATTACCAAGGCTTTTTTGTTTTTGCACTTAAGTTGACAAGCACAACAACAACAACAACAACAACAACAAGAACAGAATTAACGAGGACGCTATGACAAAGCGAATAAAAGAAATACGAAATACAAAAGAAATTTTATCTGTTTCTTAATAAAAGAAAAAAAACTCTAAACCAAATATATCCATTTAATTATAGAGAAAAGCAAGCTAAAAAAAAAATTTTCTAATAGTATCCAATAATCCAATTCATCCATTCTTTTTCTTTCTTGTGCTTTATTGATTATATCCAACGAGTTGTTAAAGATGATTACTATCAACCGTTAGTACCATTACCGCAAAAGGAAAAAAAAATAGTTCTGAAGTAGAGACAAGCGACGATTGGATAACATATAGACAGAAATAACCTCTTCTTTTTTTTTCCTTATTTCTACTCTCTGCCTTCTCGGATAGCAATAGAAAAACGGATTGATATCTTTTGCGTTCCTGTGTCTATTTTTTTTTCTCTTCTTGTGTTCGTACTACTACTTATCACCACTGTCGTCGTTCTCTTTACATCTTAACATCTTCCGGACGCACTAAGAACAACAAGCCAAGCAACAGCAATAGCAATGGCCGATTTACCCAGTGATAAAGTTGATGAAGCTAAACAAGTCTTTGAAGTATTTGACAAAAAATATGAAGTAAGAGTATTGTTTTACTTTTCTTTGAATCAATTCAATATAAATAATTTTCATAATAAAGGGAAAAGTCGATGCATATTATATTGGAGATATGCTCCGTTCACTTGGTTTATATCCAACACAAGCTGAATGTGAGAAACGTGGTCAAACGAAAAAAACTGGTGAAAAAACCATAAAAGTCGAAGAATTTTTACCAATTTATTCAGAATTTTATAAAATGCCAGCTAAAAATTTTGGTACATATGAAGATTTTATGGAAGGTTTAAAATTATTCGATAAAGAAAGTAATGGTTTAATGTCATTAGCTGAACTTACACAAGTACTTGTTGCTATGGCTGAAAAACTTGATCCGCGAGCTGTTGAAGAAATTCTTCGTTCAACAAATACAAAAGATGATGCTGAAGGCATGTTTAATTATGAAGTTTTTGTTCGTGCTCTTCTTCAAGGCCCGTTTCCAAATGAATCGACATGATAATCTAGAAGAATTTTATTTCAAAATTTTACAAACAATGGAAAAATCAATGTTTGACACTCGTCATGTTTTTCCTGCCTTTCTTTCTTCGATTTTTTTTACTTTCTATACATGTTTATTCCTCAATCATCATCATCCCTTTTCTTTTCTTTTATATGCACAAACACGTTCTATTAAATACAATGCACAGCAAGAAGAGCATTGTCAGCAATCATCATCATCTTCACTTCCTTTTGTTTTCATTCTCTGTGCGTGTATTTGTGTATGTTTTATTTATGTATACCATTTTATATTTTTGTGTTTAAGCAACTTCTTTGCTGCTGCTGTTGCTATTACTACTCTTTGAGAATATATATTAGTATAAGGCTACAAAACAATCATCAATTTTAGCAAGAAGTGTTTATCCCCTTTTTTTTATAATTAAATTTTATTATTTAAAAAAAATATATATGAATTTCCATCTTTTTACCAAAGCAAAAAGATAAACTATTTTATATCTATACGACAAAAAGAAACACATGAAGGTTTTAAATCATCAAAACAGAAATAAATCCATATGTTGTACAAAATAACATAATGATATTGTATATTTGATCTTTTAGAGTAATTATTCATTGGAAAGAATAGAAAATCTGAATGAAAATTTTCGTATGGTTTCAATTTGTTTCTCCAATACTTATTTATCATGAGTTAATCGACTGCCAATTATCGATAATAGGAAAATTTTCTTTTTCTTTATTGTGTATTTTCACCAACTGCTTGTTCTAAACTATATGATAAATAATGTTACATTTATTAATCATCTATTGTTAGGTAACAAACTTCACTTTTTTTGTTGTTTTCATAAACTATGGTAACTGATCAAACTTACAATCAATCTCTAATCTCCATATATAAAACAACAACGTAAAAAAATAGACTTGTAAAACAATAAAATAATCCAAGATCAATAAAAGATAACAAATTTTATTAGTTACACTATGTTAAAAAAGTACATAGATGTTGAATAATTGAATAATTCATACATTTAAGCAACATAAAGAAAAATACTTATATTAAAGGTAAAATGGACAAAAAAAGCGTGTACGATAGTCATTTAAACACAAGAGTATTGCATACATTATATGAGTGTATTATTTGGCGACAAAAAAGATGTTTCTGATAAAGTACAATAAACATAGACGACTATCAAGACCATACGATTGTCATCAATCGATGATATACTATTTCTTCCAGACATATAAGTAAATTTCCTATCCAAATTAGTGTAGAATCATTAATGACAATAACTTCTCAAAATATTTTATAAATTAAATATTATTTTTCGTTTATTAATAAATTCATTTTGATGGATAAATAAGCAAACAAGAATTTCGTGTGATTCAAAAAAAACAATCCGTTAGCTAAATTAATTAATAAACGAATGAAAATTATTATCAAAAAACAATAATATATATATACATAAAAATGATTGAATATTAATTAAAAAAAATTGAAATCAAAAGTAAGAATATTTCATCATACTAAAAATTGAGCATGTCTACAATATAGACGGATTAAACAAGGAAGAGCAGCCAATTTTTTTCTATGTATTATCAATTTTAAATAAATACAAAATGACTAATGCTAAAAAGTTTGGTTTTCAAAGTTTTCTGCTTTTGTTTCAGCTATTTTCTTATGATTTAAGTCTGTATGTATAGAATCTCATTATCAAAAGATGATTTGTAAATTCAAAGGATAAGATCTACTATAATAATTACAACAATGTCAGATTTCAATTACTTCCAATTATTTTCATTTCTCTGAAGTTGTTGATTAAACTCATTTTCTTGATTTTTCTATATGTAGAACTGAAAGAATCATATAAAAAATGATCAAGTGTTTGTCTTTGTGACTTTTTAATCAAGAAACTCTTACTTTAGCTGTTTACCATTTCAATTCGGATTCTGAAGGAACACATGTTAAATTTTATCTATTTTTCTTAATATTCCTATAGAGATATTGGCTAAATGTTATGCATCTATTTTTATTCTGTTAAGAAAGAAAAAATATATGTATTTCATCAACATTTCTTTGTATTTAAAGAAATGTTTCAAGTAACTCTAAAAACAAGACAATGCTTTCACTTTTTTTCTTTATATATGTTATTCATTTTATATGTCAGGTTCAATATAAATTAATTAGAGAGATCAGCAAGATAGATAGGATGAGAAGGTCGTGTGCTATATAGAACGATGAGCCTGATTCTGCTGTGGTCGTTGTTTCATGTGGTTCAGTTGTTGTTTGTTCAACTGGACTTGTAGTTCTAGATGTTACCGTTGCACGTATCGTTGATGTTGTTGCATTTTTAGTAGCTGACGTTGTAGTTCTAGATGTTGTAATTCTAGATGTTGTAGTTTTAGATGTTGTAGCTTTAGATGTTGTAGTTTTAGATGTTGTGGTTCTAGATGTTGTAGCTCCATATGTTGTAGTTCTAGATGTTGTAGTTCCAAATACTGTGGTTCTAGATGTTGTAGCTCCAGATGTCGTAGTTCTATATGTTGTAGCTTCAGATACTGTAGTTCGAGATGTTGTAGTTGTGGATCTTGTAGTTCTGTTTGTTGTAATTGTGGGGCATATAGTGGTGCCATTACCTTGGCCCACGGCTGACGTATTACCCAAAAAGAGAGTGTAGTCGCCCAAAATTACACAAAGATTTTGTCTAATCTGCAATATTTTTAAAGACATGATTTATTTCGAAAATGTTTTTTTTTTAAAGACTCACTTCTTTAAATAGTTCTGGCCGAGAACAATCATCAGCACGACAAAAAAGATCAATTTCCCATAATTCAACAGTTCCAGGACGACTGGCATATATAATACCTTCAAGTTCTACTCGATGTGGATCTATTGTGAAAAACTCTGAGTCAGGTGGAGCACAAAATGATTGATAACATAGTTCATCAGTTGCCGGATCATCAAATGTATCCGAAACATAACAAGTCGTGTTGCATGAACGAATTGGACATCGACTAGAATCAAGAAAATCACTTGTACCGCATTGGGGAGCATCTGGACATTCATGACAGTCACGTACGGGTTGTCCACTACCTAAAACATTGGAATTAAGCCATGCTTCTGGAAGACCCATTTGAAAACTGGTGGGAAGATATGGTAAAAGACGAGGATCATTACAATAATCCCAATTACATCCAAAAATAACCATATTATTTCTTGTATTCCACCATCCTGTTTTTTCATCATAAATAATTGATTCTTCGACAAGTAGATGTGGAAATTCACGTATGTAAACACGAGTGGAGTTTCGATTTATATGTTCTAAAAATATAATAAAGTCTTCACCAAAATTTTCTCGTACAATTGTACAATAACTTGATAAGGCACTAGACACTGTATAGGTGTCACATGTACAATTAGGGTCATCATAACAAGAGCAATCATAACAGATAATTTCTGGTTCAACTATTGGTCGAGATGAATTATCCAAAAGAAATGTAAAATTATTTGTTTCTAATGTTAAATTTTCTCGAATTTCATTAAAAACTTGTGCACGTGAGCAATCCTCAGCTCGACAATAAAGATCAATTTCCCACAGTTCAACAACATCTGGTTGATCACCATAAATAATACCTTCTAATTCAATACGATGTTGATTTTCTTCAATGTCTGCTTCAGGTGAGCTACAATATGATTGATAACATAAGAGATTAGATGATGGTTCATCAAATAAATCTGAAACAACACAAGTATTGTTGCATTCTTTAACTGGACATCGGCTAGCATCAAGAAAATCAGTTGTGCCACATTGTGGAGCATCGGGACATTCATGACAATCACGAATGCTTGCTCCACTATCTAAAACATTTTCATTCAACCATTCGTCACTTAAAGTCATTTTGAAACTATTGGGAAGTAACGTAACAAGGCTTGGATGGTTACATAAATGCCAATTACATCCATAAACTAAAATATTAGTTCGAGTAGTCCATTGTTTAGTAGTTTCATTATAAAGTATCGATTCTTTTGCAAGTAAAAAAGGAAATTTACGAATATGAACTCGAGTTGAATTTCGATCAATATGTTCTAAATCAACTGTAAAATGGCCAGTTTCGTAATTTATACGTACAATTGTACAATAAGTTAAAGAAGCATCAGATGGTTGAACTGTATTGCATGGACAAGCAGGATTATCATAGCATGCACATTCATAACATGAAAGTGCTGGTTTTATAGGCGGTGCAGTTGTTGTTGTCGTTGTTGGTATAATTGTTATATTGAAGAACGGTGAAAGATCGCCTGTAGATACTACAAGTTCTGCTCGAAGGTCCTTAAATATATCTGCTCGAGTACAGTTATCAGCACGACAATAAATGTGTGCTTCCCATAATTCGACTTTAGCATTTGGACGATTACCATATAAAATACCTTCGATTTCTACTCGATATGGATTTATTGTAAGAGATTCTGAATCGGGTGGCTCACAAAATGATTGATAACATAGTAAACCAGCTGTCGGATCATTGAATGTATCCGCAACATGGCAAGTAGTGTTGCATGAATGAATTGGACATTGATTAGGATCGAGAAACTCTGTTGTACCACATTGTGGAGCATCCGGACATTCATGACAATCACGTACAGATTGCCCAGTACCTAAAATACTGGAATTAAGCCATGATTGTGAAAGACGCATTTGAAAACTGATCGGAAGTTTTGGCACAAGGCGAGGATCATTACAAAAATCTGTATTACATCCATACATAATTAAATCTGGTCTAGTATTCCATCGACCATTAGCTTCATTATATAAAATTGATTCTCCAACAAGCAGAAAAGGAAATTCACGTATATATATCTTAGGTGAATTTCGATCAATATGTTCTGATATAATCCAAAAATCTTGACCATCATATAGACGAACAATCGTACAGAAAGTTAAATTATCACGTAATGGAACGGTTTTATTGCATGTACAAATAGGATCATTCTTACAGAAACACTCGTAACAATGAAGTTGACCTGAATCGCCTATACTTGTTTGGTTGAATATTAACGAAATGTTACTTGATTCGACAATCAATTGTTGCTCAATTTCTTGAAAAATTTCTGGACGTGAACAATTATCACCTTGACAATAAATATTTACTTCCCTTAATTCAATATTAGTAGGTCGACTAGGATATATGGCACCTTGAATTTGTACATAATATATATTTTCAGGAACACAAGATGATTGATAACACTGCTCATTATTTGTTCGATGATTATATTTATTAGAAACAAAACAAGCACTATTACAGATTTCAACAGGACATGAATCAACATCGAAGGTTTCATTTAAACTACATATTGTATCATTAGCACATTCATGACAATAATGTACCGGTTGTTCAGTACCTAATATACTTGAATTTAGCCATGAGTCTGGAAGACGTATTTGTAAACTTGAAGATAATAATGGAAGAAGAGATGGTTTATTGCAATAATCCCAATTACATCCATATACAACTTCATTGATTCTTGTAAACCATTGACCTGTTTCATTATCATATAAAATTGATTCGTCAACAATAACATATGGAAGTTCACGAACATTAAAATAAGATGCAACAAAATCATAATGACTAAAAGATATGTGTACACTATCACCATCGTAATTACGTGTAATTGTACAATAAGTTGATTTTGCTATTGCTAATGAAACTGTATTACAACTACAATCTTGTTCATCTTCACAATAACAATCAAAACATCGAATTTTTGGTTCTTCATCTGTTTGATTAAATATAATTGTTATATCACCTGTTTGTAAAATAAGTTTATCTTGAAGTTCTTGAAAAACTTCTGGACGTGAACAATTATCTGCTCGACAATAAAGATCTATTTCCCATAATTCAACATTTGTAGGACGACTGGCATATAAAACACCTTCGATTTCTACACGATGTGTATCGACTTCAATACCTGGTTGATCAGCTGGAGCACAATATGATTCATAACATTGATCAGTATTTTCTGACTCAATAAATCTACTAGAAACGAGGCAAGTAGTATTACATGATTGAATAGGACACTGATCATCATCAATAAAACCTGTATCACTACATACAGGACCATCTGAACATACGTGACAATCATGTGCTGGTTGTCCAGTACCTAGTATAGTTGAATTTAGCCATGCTTCTGGAAGACGCATTTGAAAACTAGTTGGTAAATAAGGAACAAGTTCAGGTTTATTACATAAATTCCAATCGCATCCATAAATAACAAACTCAACTCTAGTATCCCATCGACCTGATGTTTCTTTATAGATAATTGATTCTTCAATTAATACATAAGGATAATCACGAATATAAGTATAAGTTGTATTAATATTAATATGTCCAAATTCAATTTGTACATCATGTGCTAAATTTCGACGTACAATAGAACAATAGGTATTATCTGCTGAACTTATTTCATACGTTGTACATGGACATGTTGTTCCAGTACATGAGCAATTGTAACAAGAAAGAGGATGAACTAGTACAGTTGATGTTGTTGTCAAAGATTGTTCTGTTGCAGAAAGGCGAACAGTTGAAAAAGCCGTTAATTTACTGGCATCATTTCTAATTTGGACTTTTACTTCTTGAAAAATGCTTGAACGAGTACAATCATAAGCAGCACAATTTATATTTAATTTCCAAATTTCCAAATTTGGATGATTTTGTGATAGATAAACAATGGCTTCGACTTGAACTTTATATTTTTGATTATCTTCATTAGAATCATCTTCCAACACTGATTTTGTACATTCTGATCGATAACATAATTCATCTGTTTCAATATCGTACCATACATTATACAGTGAACACTAGAAAATATACTTTTCGTTTTAATTTTAATTTAATATTTTTTATCTCAATACTCACTGTAGTTGGATTATTACATGATGTCAATGCACATTGATCATATTTAATATGATGTGCTTGATTACCACATATCTCATTTGAACATGTATGACAAGCATTAACTGATCCATTACCATAAATATTTTCTTCAAGCCACTTTTTATCAATAGTTAATTTGAATGCATCAGGTAAAAGTGAAACTAAAGAATATTCGTTACAATAATTCCAATCACATCCATAAATAATACGTTTTGTTTTCATTTCCAAACCATTTGTTATCTCATTATAAAAAATTGATTCGTCCAATATAATATAATGAGAGTCTTTTATTCGAATGTATGATGAATTAAGAAAAGTAGAAGATAATTCTACATATTGGTTCGACGAATGTAATTCTTCAACGATAATACAATGTGAACCTTCAACATTAGATGTGTTAGAGCAATTGCAAGCAGATGTATTAGAAAACGGACACTGACATTGGTAACAGATAAGACTACTGTTTGGTACTGTCGATAGTACTAGTACTAAAAATATCCATTGAATAATCATCTTCATCAATGGATGTAAAACAATTGAGAATAATATTATTTAAAATGAACGAAAAGGACCACAATTACAGATGATAATTATACTTGTTCTATGTCTTTTATATGCATTTTTGTAATATATATACCATAAACAAAGTTCTTTCAGTTGGGCCAATATCAACAATAATAAAATCATATAATACTTTCCGTTAGATAAAAGAGACATAGATAAAGCAACAATGGTAAGACTTATATCATAGTTATTTTATTGAAAGAAACTCGGCATGCCATAAAATCAACGACAGATTACTTTCTTCCTAATATATAAATGATCACTGAAATAAAATAAAAACCATTGAAAATTAGATGTCATAAATATACGAGAGGCTGTAGAGATTATTTCAGTTAATCAATCCAAATCTTTTTTCTCTTGTCATTATAAAATTATTTCATGAGATAAAAATAAAAAAGACAAAACTAAGCAGACGTTTGAAGGACATTATTAGATTAGTGCTGAAGAGAGCAATATCTATTGTTTTTAGATTTCATCGAAATTGCTAAAACTTTAATTCATTTATGTTTACATATCATATTCCATGTCACATCTTTCAATATTCTTTAGATATATAAACAATATATTCTAATGTCTTCATTCAGTTAAATACATGTTTCAGGAGCTCTAAATACATGTGAACGTTTTGTGTTATACTTCGAATTCGTATGAACTAAACAAATTTCATTTCAATATATTTTTTTTTCTCTGACATTGAATTTGATGTGATCGTTTGATATTACTTTTGAAAAAGATGCTGAAGTATATCATAGTTCAGTATTCTTTAAGCCGATACTTCTCTACAACTTTATGACTGTTCTAAAAACTTAATAGAAAGTGTCAAAGTCAAATTCAGTTTTGATAAACTTTAGATGGACAACATAATCACACTGTTGACATCTAAGTCGTAACTACTACTAGTTGTAGATTTAGTCATGTGCTTTTATTGCTTTATAAATTCATAGTTGAAAAGCATTTCTGATATTATCATCGATTCAAATTAGTAAAAAAAATTGTTTTTATTAGAATCAAAACTTTAGAAGAAATTATCTTGAATAGAAGAATGTAACTTTCATACTCATTAACGAATTCAATTTAGTGAAGCATTTTGTCATACAAGTGAAATATGCATTTGTTTCGAAGACATCTTGTTTAGTAAGAGCTATACAATATGCTGAAGTTCTAATGTAACACAATAATTATATTATTTCATAAAGTCAATTATTTTTATCAATTGAAATTTTCGAAGATTTCAATTATCATTCAAGAGGATGGGCTGATTTTTACAAATAAACTAATTCATTCAGCATATACAAAAAAAGAAAAAGCAACTAAAATACATATTTTCATTATCATTCTCTTATTCGACTCATAATTTCACAAACATCAGAATTAAGATTACATTCCCATTTGAAAATCAAAACGTTTTCGCTTGTTAGCAGTATGAACCATATGTTTGTTTATGTATCAAACTACAGTGAAAGCATCAGTTCCGGTTGATATTATTAAAAAGTAGGTCATTGCATTCGGATCGTTGAGTAATTTTTCTTATCTCTTTCGTTTCAAATAAAAAGATCAACCGACTTCATGTTTGTTAGTTTAATGCCAATGACAAGTTTATTAAAAATAAAAAAAGAGGAATGGTTCTTGAAAAAAGACAAAAACAGAGGAATTTCACGCTTATGTCACATCTATAGTTGAATAAGTAAAATATCATGAAAAACTATAAGTCAATGAAAATTGAATAGAAGAATCGATATTAGCAGCAAATTAAGAAAATTTATTCTACTGAAGATTGACGCATTTGAAGCTGTTGAGTCAGTCCCTGGTGAATTTGTAGTCGTTGGCGGATTTGTAGCCGTTGGCGGATTTGTAGCCGTTGGTGGATTTGTAGTCGCTGGTGGATTTGTAGCCGTTGGCGGATTGGTAGTCACTGGCTGCGTCATAGTGGGCCGTGCAGTCGTGGACAATACTTCATCAAATGCACTTAAATCGCCTACTGTAAAACTTAATTGGGATTTCAGCTGAAATATACAATGATTTTTGCCTAGTTTATATATTTGGATTTTATTCAATTACTCACTTCTTTAAATATTTCTGGTCGAGAGCAATCATCAGCACGACAATAAATATCAACTTCCCATAACTCAACATCACGTGGTTGCTTATAAAGATACAATATACCCTCGATATCTACTTGATATATTTCGGCGTCATAATCTTCGTCACCTGGGCGTGCACAGTATGACTGATAACATAGTTCATCAGTTGCCGGATCATCAAATGTATCCAAAACATAACAAGTCGTGTTGCATGAACGAATTGGACATCGACTAGCATCAAGAAAATCACTTGTACCGCATTGGGGAGCATCTGGACATTCATGACAATCACGTACGGGTTGTCCACTACCTCGAATATTTGTATTCAGCCATGATTCTGGAAGACGCATGTCGAATGTATTTGGAAGAGAATTTAAAAGACTAGGATGATTACATAAATCCCAATCACATCCATAAGCAGCCATGTTAGTCACAGTATCCCATCGTCCTCTGTTTTCATTGTAAAATATTGATTCTTCGAGAAGTATATAAGGAAGATCTCGAACATGAACAGTAGTTGAATCTGGACTAATATGTCCCATAGTGATCCAGTGCTCTTGACCATAGTCTTCGCGCATAATTAAGCAATAAGTTGAATTTGCATTCAGGATTGTAGTTCGATCGCAGGGACAAGTAGGTTGATTATTGCAACTGCAATCATAACATCGTCGTTGTGGTACTGTTGGATCATGTGTTTCACTGAACAAAGCAGCAAGAGTACCTATCTGTATATTTATTTGTTCACGAAGTTCTTTGAATATTTCAGGACTTGAACAATCATCAGCACGACAATAAAGATCGATTTCCCATATTTTCACATTATTAGGTTGATTAGCATAAACAAGACCTTCGATTTCAACACGATGATGATTAATATCATTTTGATCATCACTAGATGACATACAAAATGATTGATAACATAAAAGCTCCAAAGCTGGATCATTAAATGTATCTGAAACACGACAAGTAGTATTACATGAATGAATTGGACATCGACTAGAATCAAGAAAATCAGTTGTACCACATTGAGGAGCATCTGGACATTCATGACAATCACGTACTGGTCGTCCAGTACCTCGAATATTTGTATTTAACCATGATTCTGGAAGACGCATTTGAAAAGTATTTGGTAAAAGTGGTATAAGTTCGGGTTTATTACATAAATTCCAATTGCATCCATAAAGAACTAAATTTGTTGTAGTAATCCAACGATCACGTCTGTCATCATAGCCAATCGTTTCTTCGACAACAACAAATGGAGCTTGAAGAATATAGTTATAACTTGCATAATAATCGAGATAAGTAAAGTTAAATGAAATATCTTGACCACGATTTTCTCGTGCGATAATACAATAGGTATCATCCAATGACACGACTTCAGTTGATGTACATGGACATCCTAATATACCAATACATTCACAACTATAGCATCTAAGAGGATTTGCTATTGGTGTAGTTGTAGTTGGTGGTGGTTGAGTTGTTGTAGGTCGAACAAGTGGATAAATAGATAGATCACTAATTGTATAGCTAAGTCTATCTGCTATCTCTGAAAAAATAGTAGGTCGAGTGCAGTTATAAGCACCACAATATACATCCATCTCCCAGATGTAATATTTTGAACGATCTTGTGCTAAATAAACAATGGCTTCGACATCAATTCTATATTTACCACCAAAAAATCCCGTTAAATCGTTATCTAAATATGCTGGTGCACATTGTGATTGATAACATTGTTCACCTGTATCAAGATCATCCCATAAATCGTAAGCTAAACACTAAAATACAAAAACAAGCATAATCTATTTATAATGAGCAATAATTTAAAAAAACTATCAAACAATTGATTTCGTTATTTAATGGGTCATATTACCGTAGTCGCATTGTTACAAGTTGTCATTGGACATTGGGTGAAGTCAATTGGATTTCCTGAATCACCACACATTTCGAATGGACAATGATGGCACTGAGTAACAGAACCTGTACCATAAATATTCGTATATAGCCAATCTTTATCAATAGATAAGTTAAATGAAGCAGGCAACCGGTTGATCAAATCTGGAGAATTACAAAGGTCCCAATCGCATCCAAATATAACACCACTCGTCCATAAATACGAGTCATTCGCGGTTTGATTGAATCGAATAGATTCTAGCAAAACAATGTAGTAAGGATCTTCAACGTATACCCAAGTTGTGTTACGAGAAACTCGAGTTAATTCAATATACGTTTCATCAATATATCTATCTTCAACGATGACACAATAATCACCATCCACCTCGGTGCTTGTCTCACCACAATTACATTCAGATATATCAGTGTTACTACATCCACATTCATAGCATGTAAGACTATTACTAGGTACTATTAACACAAGTAATAGAAAGATTAAGCTATGAAAGATCATAATTCGTAGTAGCGAAATAAAAGTAGTGATAAAGTACTTTCATCCGATTTAAAAACAGAATATTTTATATAGGTGCTTTTCTTTTCTTTCTGTATTTCTGGTTAGACCATAAACACATAAATGATGCCTTTAACAAAACCCGTTGTGCTGACAGGCAAAAAGATCAAATCATGGATTAGAAGAATTGTGAAAGAGAAAAAGTATCCTTGGATATTATCTCTTTATTGTCATAATAACAGAACAGATTTTATAAGTAGCAACAGTCTTCTTTTTTTCTTTTTGATATAATCAAGAACATAGACAATATGACAATATAAAAAATTGCATGGCATTGTCGGATCTTTGCTTTGTTCTTTTCTTTATATTTCTAATTCCAAATTAAACGTAAAAGAATAGAAAACAACTTTGATTGAACTAAAAATATGTTGGTGTTGCTATTGTAATTGGATAGTTTTCCATGGTATTTAGCAAATCTTCGAGCACAGATAACTGAAATAAGAATGTACTGTTCGTTGCACCATTTCGTTGGAGGATTAAAAGACAAATAGTCAATATTAATGTTAGTTATTCGCATACAATGGTATAGATTCTATTCTAGGATATTACTACATTCTCTCTTAGAAATTAATGCTATAAATAAGCGTTTTTCAAGTAAACTTGTTCATTACATATTTTTTTCAAGATTCAAAGCGATTTATAGCTAACAACTATATCAATTGTTTGAAGTACCAATAGTATTTTATTGAATTTTGATTGTAGAGATGAAGGTTGCTTTTTAGAATTATTTAACATTCAACAGTTGTACGTTATCTATTTATTACCAGCATAATAAAATTTGTGAAGAACTATTGGTAAAGTTAAATGGTTTTAGTAATCTTACTCTATGTAGTGTGTGCAAATAAAAATGCTATGTATATTCGAAAAAAAAATTTAGAATATTCTCATAGAAGTGTCTTTTAGATTGAATCTTTCGAGGACATAATTCGAAAGTTTTCAATTATTCCTGCAACAAATGGTCTCAATAAATATAAAAACGCCCTAATTCAATGGATGAAGGAGCAAAGTATTTTTTTCTTTCACTATATCTACTTTATTAAATAAATTATAAGAGAACACATTCTATAATCTGATTTGCAACTTTTATAAAACATGAACCAGCAAAAAATATAGTACAATACGTTTTCAAGTCTTGGATTAAATCGTATAGGTAATGGTAGGTGTTAGCAATTCATCATTATTTCTTTTTGAATTTATGATAAACTATATGTTACGCGTCTTGTTCTAGGATAGTTTTTGGTATGCCTAATTTAAGACTTACGTGGACGTTTAAAATGTGATTACAAGGAGATAGAGATAGAGCTAATGCAGATAAAAAGGGATCATCCATTAAGGATATTCAGGTAAAAATCATATTTTTTGACTTCCCTTCCACCTGTCTAGATCCAAGAATCCCTTCCCGCTCCTAGATGTCTAGTATAAAAAAAAAGCTCTCAGAAACAGCCTACTTGTTCAAATATACTGGTTCTTTTTTTTTATTAAATAAAAGTTCTTTAAATAAATATATCAAAAACAAAAATGAATATTTGTATATCCAGAAAAAAAGGCAAAACACACCTATCACAAACAACAAACAGAAACATAATCTACTTCAAAATTTTGTTTTTTAAATACAATGGATTTTCAGAGAAGGAAACAGCAAAAGTATAAAAACAAAAGTAAAGTTTCATACCAATGGCACTCGAAAATAGAACAACGTTAACACTACTGTTCGATAAGATGGCTATCTACTCGCATAGTCTAGTCTTCAACTATTCGAAAACCATATTCACATTTAACTGATCGATTCAATTCATTTCCTGTTTAAAAATGCTCTTCAAAATGAGCTAGTTTTCAAAATTTTGCGGAAATTTCTGCGAAAAAACGAAAAATATTCATAGTAGGTTTCTGAACATCCAGAAATGTTTGACCCCCTCCTCCGTCCCCCTTTTTCTGAACGTGCTTAATGGATGACTCGAAAAGGAAAAGGATAACAAGAACAGAGAATACGTAGAATGAGATAAAAAGCTGGAAAAAGGGAAAAATAAAAGGAAGGAGGATCACATACTAGATTTATCGGAATGATTTTCGATAAACTGAATCAAGTGGATTAGAAGTGGCTGGTGTCTAATGATCATTTTTTCCAGTCTTGCTCATCTAAAGAAATATTCCATATTTAGTTTTGTTTGTAATGTATCACTTTGTTGTTTCTTTAGGTTTTCCGTGAAAAGGTCTCAATTAAATAGACCGTTATACAAAAAAATATTTGCCTAAGTCAGACTTGAATACTCAGTTCAAGCAATTTTTTAGTTAAACTGTAACATATGGTTCAAGTGGATGTTTTTTAATGTTGATGAGATTTCGTGCGCTGCAATAATTGGGCATCTATGCACTATGTCTAGATCCACTTTAAACTTACGTTTTAAGGTCATTTGGCGAGAAATAGGTGATAGAGAAAAGAATGGAGAAATCCACGCAAAGAAGGGGAATCTGTATGCAAAGAAACATGGTCTCAGTACATCAGTTGTTATCATTTTATTTCTTTTCAACCATTTTAGCGTCATATATAAATTTTTAATTTTTTTCTATGCATTGCTCGACTGTTGAGGTGATAAATAGTTTTTCTATCCATTCGAATCCTCAATATTAGGATGTTTTCACACATTCACGTTATGTCCTATCCATGTATATTTGTATGTTAGGTTGCACAACTTGCGAGTGAAACAAATGTACAACCGTCTTTTTCACAATTTATCGGTTGTTTTCATTTCTGGGTATAGTTAAAGAGTTTTTTGCTTATTTCTATTCGTTTCCTATGAAATATATTTTAAAATATTTGGCAGACTTCTCTTTATTGGCGGTACTATAAGTGCACAAACATCGTCTAAACGAATGTATGTAAAGCATGCACTCGTACAACGTACAATATCGGAGTGGCAGATAATGAGTATCGAAGGCCTTAATGAGCTTTCTAGCAGCAATTCTACATTGATGCTAATTTTTTCTAATTTGTGACTTCCCAATTTTACATATGCTTGTCGGTTACTTAACCAATTTATTATTAGCTTTTCCAATTCTAAGGGCATTCTCATACGGTATAGCTTTACAATAAGCCCTCCATCCTATTCAAGTTCGTATGCTTTCTTATAGTCTACGCAGATACTGCGTCTGGAACGTTAGTTGCAAGATAGTTCTTCATCCATGCAGACGAATACGTACTAAAAATAATGTTTCAACGCGTTCAGATAGAAAAATGGAGAAAAAACGCATCATAACTCATTCATATGATGAATGAAAAAGTTTAACTGATTAAAATGGGTTTCTTCTTATATAAACAAGTTTTAACGCAGTTTTCAAGCAAAAAGTGATGACTTGATACTTTTTAATACATTCGTACATATCAGGTAGAATCAGCACATAATTTATCGTTTAAACACAACAGTGATAATTCTTTTCTGATAACAACGCGTTTTAATATGATCTAACATTCTGTAAAGAGGTCCGTGAATCAATAAAATCGATGTTCTTTGTTTGGTTGTTACTACAAAATAAAGACTAATAACGACAACTGATCAGTCATTCATATTGTTCCTAATTTGAATGACTGTACATTCTTTTAATTTAATGAAGCATGCAAGTTCATAAAAAAGTCCTCGTTAGCTTCTCTATCATCATATACGTTGTGGCGATTTTTTTAAAATTTCGTCCATTGGCTACTCAGATTCTTTTTTCATGCGTTGATCTTCTGAATAATAATTCTTCCATATCATTATTATAAGAAAAAGATAAAAGATAAAAATATTAACATTTGTAATTTTGTTCTTTTGTTGTAACATAAAACGCTGAAGAAAATAGCAGACGCTTTTGAAACGTTTGTAAAATAAATTCATATTACTGTGGAAGAGTAGTTGAAGGTGAAATAATTAAATGTCCTTTCTACTGAACACAAAAAAGAAAATAGAAATAAGTTTTTGAAAAACCGTACAAGTGTCTTGAATCTTTGTCAAAAAGGTAATGAATTGCTAGTAAAAAATAATAAATAAAAGAGTAGTTCATCATATAGATAAAATATTAAGAATGTTTTCAGTTGTTTCTTTATCTTTTTTCGTCTTGGTGGAAATTTTTTGGTATCTGACTGATTTTTGTGATTGAAATGATATATGAACTGTCTAGACATGAACTAGCATTAACCAAAGATATATATATATGTAGGGTAGCAAGGAACAAACATCTGATATTAGGGTCTTCATCATTTATGCTAGATATTTAGGTTAATAGTTCTTCTATAGCAGAGTACTCTGTGATGCGCGATTTACTTTTTTCATTCAATGTTGGATTTCAGAGAATTTTTCAATGTAACCAAATTAATAAGAACTGCCGTTAGAATTAGTGAAGAATAGCAACAATTCAAATATCTTAGTATTACAAGTAATAGTAAAATGCAATGTTTACTAATAAATAATAGACTACACGTCACATCGATTCATAGAAGAACAGGGTTAAGGATCACTAAATAGTAGTGTAGTTTCGTTCCCTCCCGAAGAATAGATTCATTGACATGTTAATGTAAACAATTGGCTAGTAGCTTCAAAGTGATTTTTTAAAATAGTTTATTGTATCTTCCAAATAGTGGAAAAATCATTTAAAAAAACTAACTTCAATCTTGATGCTCGCGTCACCTATTCTAAATATAATGTCATATCTTTATTCTTTAGTGTGAATTTTTTTCACTATTTGTAAGGTAAAATAAAACTTTAAAGAAATTCACCCTAAAGCTGTTAACCAATTATTTACATTAACATGGCAATGAATTTATTCTTTAAAAGGAAATGAAGCTACTCTACTGTTTTAGCATCGTTAGTGCCTGATCTTTTATGAATCAATATTACTTGTAGTACTGAGGCATTTGGTTTGTAACTATTCTTCAGTAGTTATAATACGTTGTCTCTATCAACACAGTAAAG